CTTGCGAAATTGGTTGGAAACTTACGTAAAAAAGTGAGAAATCGTGCTCCCAGAGCCGGCGCTCTAAGCTCTGGTGCTGGGGGAAAATCAAAAAAAAGAATCATTCAGCGAGCTGCCAAACGATGCCATGGAATCGGAAAATACGGAACCGGTTCTTAACAGGAACCGGTTTTCGATTCCCATCCCTACCCCCAAGCGTCTTAAACGTCAGTCACCAAAACACAAATTTCCAACACGTGGTGTATTTTCAATTTTTCATTGCTGATAAGAGGATTGAAACTGGCTACAGAGATGACTGACATTTATTTCTGTCAGGCTGAAGGGACAAAAGTTGGAAGAAAAACGATTTTCTTGGCGTTTAAAAAAAAAACACAACACAAAACAGCGTAAGAAGACCTCGTTAATGTATTTATTTCACAAATTTGTAAAAAGAGCAGCCGATTAAACAATGTTATAAAAGTTAACATGATTATATGAGCTTTTTTGCGAGAAATGATCAGGAGCGCCTTGAAAACGGTCAGTTCCGCCTCTCTGGCTGCAATGCGCGCTCCCGAACACCGGGGGAACAGAAACAGAATTTCGCACAAGACCGGTTCAGACTCGGAGTTAGTACCCCACCCTTTCCGATTGAATACCTGAAATGATCATTTGTTTGGGACTTGTAGAAAGTGTTTCAAATCTTTTTATTTGTCTTCTTAAAATGCTATTTGTTTTGATTTTAAAGTGTTTTTGTTTATTATTTTTTTTTTATGTAAATTAGTTTCTGAAATGATAATTTATTTTGGAACTTGTAAAAGTAAAAAAAAAAAGTATTTTTTGTTTTCTAAAATGATATATTTTTTTGGAACTTGTAAAAGTTTTTTAGATTTTGTAAGTTGGTTTGCACCTCCCGGCCACCAACTTATCATTACATTTCACAAATACAAAGCAACGCATTTTACTCTCTGCATTTCACCCATCCTCTTGGGGAGCAGTGGGCTGCATTGTGCAGCGCCTGGGGAGCAGTGTGGTGGTTAAGGGTCTTGCTCAGGGACACAGAGTTGCAGTCTGTGGGAGTGGGCTTGAACTCAGAACCTCTGGGATCGAAGCGCAATGCCCTAACCACTAGACCACCACTCCCCTGGGTTTAGAAGTTGATCTACAACTGCATTTTGATTTTTTTTTTTCAGATACATGTGACTGAATTTTTGATGCTTTTATTCCCCTTGCATAGAGTTAAACAAAGCAAGATGGATTTAGTAGATTTACATTAGCCGCTTTGTGAACTCAAAAGAGTGAGAAGGTTAAAGCTTTTTGCCTCACGTTCACCTTTGTCTTCCTTCGCAGTGGTTCTTTTAGGCTCCCTGCCTTTCAAAAGATCATATTTTTCTGTCTGAAAGGGAAATCCAGTCCATTTAGCAAAGCATAACATGCAGACTTATAAAGATGTCATCTGGTGGAGCTGCTTCTCTCATTCATGTAATCCGTATGGTGATCATGCTTTTTTTTTTTATGCATATAAATCATCATCAGCTTCGGTCTCTTTTGTTGGTGTGTTTCCTCCCAGGTCTGGCTCAGTGTGCAGAACTCTGCTGGCAACTGCGTGGACAGGCTGGCAGGAGACAGGTCCCCCGGAGCCAAAGTGGCTCTGCAGCACAACATTGGCCTTGGGGGAGCTGTGGTTGTCACTATTTACAAGATGGGCTTCCCGCAGGTGTCCAGGTGACCACTCAGACTTGCTTTCTGATAACTATTCCAGCACCTTGGAAAAACATCCATGCCCACTGAGCCTTTCTGCTTATTGTCACATTACAACTTCAGTTTTTTTTGTGTGTATTTAAAGTAAGAATATTCTAGTGTGTAGATTTGCAAAGCTGATGGAAATATATTAGGGGTGTAAATCACACCCATCATGGCGATTCGATTCAGTATCGATTTCCTGACCCAACGATTCGATTATTTTCTATACTCAAGAATACGCCACGATTCAATTCGATTAATAGGTTCTTTTTTTTTTTCTTACACCTTACAGCAGGCATCCCCAAAGTCGGTCCTGCAGGTTTTAGAGGTTTCTCTGCTTTAGCACAGCCGATTCTGATGATTGCAGTTCAGCAAAAGCTTGTTAATTAACTATCAATGTAAATCAGCTGTGCTGGAGCAGAGAAACCTCTAAAACCTGCAGGACAGCGGGCCTCGAGGACCGACTTTGGGGATCCCTGCCTTACAGGCTAGACAATGTTTCAAATTTAAAATAAATCAATGAAAGCTGTAATATCGGTATGCTTTTTTTTTTTTTTTGAGAAAATAACAGAAGTAGAAAAGTTGCACGCCATCTATTCCTATTAAAACCTCATTCATTGAAAAATAATAATACCCCTGCGTTATAGATTCTGCAAGGCTTTGCATCAGAAAATACTGCACAAAATCAGTGCAATGAGTTCAATGCAATACCTCGGCTCCAGACGTCCCCGCCCCCTCCACAGACGGGTTTTTCTGTTTCTCTTTATCAAGTGGGAATGCTTAAGCATTCCCACTTATTGTTTTTCTGTTTTTCTTTATTATCAAGTGGGAATGCTTAAGCATTCCCACTTATTGTTTTTCTGTTTTTCTTTATTATTATTATCATCAAGTGGGAATGCTTATGCATTCCCACTTATTGTTGTTCACTTTTAATTTTTCTGACTCTAACTAGTCCCACAGTTTTCAACCGATTTCAACCATTTTGGTATCAAAACGTTCAGCTCGTTCAGGAGAATTCTGCTATGTCTTTTGGTTAAGATATTTTTTGTAGTTTTCGCGATATTCAGCTTTTTCTGCGTTTTTTTGGCCCCATTGAAATGCATGTAAAACTTCAAAAATTCCACTAAATCTTCAGCTACTTTGCCCTTTAACTACTTCAGCATACTTTCAGCTAGAAACACCATTCAACTTTTAAAATGTTTCCGTATCTTTCTGCTATTACTGTTTAACTCGGCTTTCAGCTAACTTTTACAGTTTTGCTTCAGTGAAGCTTCAAACTTTTAAACAATTTTTACAGATTTTCAAATTTATAATGGAAGTCTATGGACGGAATGTTCAGCTGCTAGAGTGTGCCACTCTAGCGTTTTCAAACATTTCACTCATGCCGAACAGCTTCAACTCACTCGCTCATTTTTTACTCTATCTAGATAAATTTTACATCAAAATGTAGGGATTTTTGTCAGGATTCAGGAAATGTAACCCTCATTTGTGTGGCATTTACGGTTTTCCGACAGTTTGGCCCAGACCACGAAGAAGTCCACACTTCCCCAATAGAAATCCAATGAGAGCTCTCTGAAAATCCGAACTGAAAATTCAAAAAGACAAGACTTTTTCGTATCGCTCCCATTCGGGAACCGTTCGACGTAGCAACACGAGCCTTGTGGAAGTTGTTCCTCAGACCTTCCTAGCACTCACATTGAAGGAAGTGTGTCGATATCTTTTATCGTTTAGCTAGGAAAAAGGTTTGTTCGGGGGTAACAAATCTGTCCGAACCCCAAAATCAAGATTTTGACAATTATACACTTTTTTACATCGTCACCACGCCTAGACCAAATATTGTAGAAATATGAAAGTTACACCAGTTGTAGTCCAAAGATGGCCGACGCTCACGGTGAAAGAATTTTTTGAATACCTAATACGGTTTTGGCTCACCGCTCGTTTGTTCGGAGGGAAAGTTTTGCTTTTGAGAGTTCTGCTCTACCATTGTTCTGCATGTTATTCAATGAGACCAGCAGGATTTCTCAAACCTTTTTATTCCTCCTTCCCATTAAGGCTGTGAATGAGCTACATCCATGAAAGTTACCCCAATCGGAGACAAAGGATAGCTCTCGCTTAGACTGAAAGAATTTTTTAGATACCATTTACGGTTTGTCTTCAGCACTTGTTTGTTCGGAGCTGATATTCCCATTCAAAAAAGCCTGAGAACTAAGGAACGAAAGTGAAGCGCATGTCTCTCTGTCACTGACAGGCTTGTTAAGCGTCGTCAAGGTAACCGTGCTTCAAAGAGATTTTACCTCCACCACTTTAAACAGCACATTTTAATCTAATGGAGGGAGACAACACTGATTTAACATTAGGAAGTGGATACAATATGACTACTGGCCATGACCCTTCCCTTCACACGCAACCCTGATAGACTTTCAAAATAAGACTCCGGGGACCCTTCAAAATAAAAGCTCCTACATTAAACTCATATTTTTTTCCCAGCATATGGCTCAACATTATGACCCAAACTCAACCACTTTTTTAAAAATGAGACTCTAGGGGGTTTTCAAAACACACCCCACAGCAAATTTCAAAATAAAAGCCTCCCATTGCAACTTTATCTACTGCCCTAATAACAAGGGAAAAGAGTGATTTAACGATTAGAAAGTCATCAAGTATCACTGCTGGGTCTGACCCTTTTCTCAACACACAACCCTGCTAGACTTTCAAAATAAGACTCCAGTGACCCTACAAAATAAAAGCCTCTATATTATACTCGCGTATTAATTGATGCAAATGGCCCAGCATTATGACCCAAACTCTACCAGCTTGTTTCTATTAGACTCTAGGGACCTTTTCAAAACATACCCCAGAGCGAATTTCACAATAAAAGTCTCCCATTTACGCTCTAATGCAGCATCTATTCACCCAATAACATGGAAAACCAGTGATTTCATATTTAGAAATGGATTCTATATCACTGCTGGGCATGACCCTTCCCTTGACACACATCCATGATAGACTTTCGAAATAAGACTAAAGGGACTCTACAAAATAAAAGCCTCTTTCTTACATACACTCATTCATTGTGCCGTATGGCTCATAGCTATGACCCAAACTCAACCAATTTCTTCAAATTACACTACCAAGGCCTGTTGACCACACACCTCAGTGCATATTTCTTAATCAGGTTCTAAGATTTACACTGTAATAAAGCATCTGCTAACCTCGTAACTTGCAGCCTAAGCCTGCCAACGGTGCTTTCATTACCACAGCGGCTCGTAACATGCAGGTTCAATTTTTTTGATAAATTCAGCTCCTTAAGTGGTATTAGCCCTCTTTCTATAAGCTTCTCTCTCTGTCTTTTCTCTGCTTCTAATGGTCAGTCTTGCATATAGGTTTGTAGATTTTCAATCCTCAAATGATGACACTGTTTACTTTATGCTGATCAACCGACACATTTTAAATATTTTCAAATTGTTTTGCCAAGTCTTGACATTTCCACATATGATTTCAAAATTTTGATACTTATTCAATACCATTTTCCTCTACATTTTATTTCCCATCCTTAAGCTACTACTTTTTTTCTTCAACCAGATAAGATTCAAGTTTTTCTTTGTAATTTATTTTCTAATTCAGCTAATTTCATACTTTTCAGCCTATGTTGTGAACTTTGGCTTCATTCTGCTCTCTTTCTGGACAGGAATTAAGCTTTTCTGTTTGCTGCTAATTCATAACACGCCTGACATGTTTCTGGAAAGTAGGTGGACCCCTTCAAAATTTCTTTAGAAATTTGTCTAGAAACTTGGGAGACATTATATTAAAACCCTTCTAGTGCACACATTAAAGACATTTTTTGATATTATGTATGGTTTGGCTGTGCAGCTTTTAAGATGAGTTTGTTTCTGCCATTTTACTGCCAAATGATTCTACCCTACAAAATCTTCAGATGATTCAATTGTTTTCTGTAGTTTGAAGTTTCTGATGACTTCCTTTCACATTTTCATATGTTCCTCAGCTAATTTGTGCTTCTTTTCCTTCTCACAGTTTCTTTCGCTATTTTTTATTATTTCATTCAGCAAAAAAAGCATTCCCACTTTGCTGTTTCTGCGAAACAGCTTTTTCTAGTTATTATTATTATCAAGTGGGAATGCTTATGCATTCCCACTTATTGTTGTTCACTTTAAATTTTTCTGACTCTAACTAGTCCCGCAGTTTTCAACCGATTTCAACAATTTTGGTATCAAAACGTTCAGCTTGTTCAGGAGAATTGTGCTATGTCTTTTGGTAAAGATATTTTTTGTAGTTTTCGCGATATTCAGCTTTTTCTGCGTTTTTTTTGTCCCATTGAAATGCATGTAGAATTCTTAGATTTCAGCAAAATTCAGCTAAAACTTTATCATCTTCGACCTTTAACTACTTCAGCATACTTTCAGCTAGAAACACCATTCAACTTTTAAAATGTTTCCGTATCTTTCTGCTATTACTGTTTAACTCAGCTTTTTGCTAACTTTTACAGTTTTGCTTCAGTGAAGCTTCAAACTTTAAAAGAAATTTTTAAGATTTTCAGATTTATAATGGAAGTCTATGGACGGAATTCTTCAACTGCTAGAGTGCGTGCTCTAGCTTTTGAGCTGTTCTGGTTTTTCCGAACAAATTCTTCTCAGTCCCTCATTTTTAACTCAATTGAAATAAATTATACATCAAAACGTAGGGATTTTTGTCAGGATTCAGGAAATATAACCCTCATTTGTGTGGCATTTACGGTTTTCCGACAGTTTGGCCCAGACCATGAAGAAGTCCACACTTCCCCAATAGAAATCCAATGAGAGATTTTCCAAAAATCACAGACAAAATCCAAAACGATACATATTTTCGTATCGCTCCCATTTATTAACTATTTGATGTACTAACATGAAACTTGGTATAGAACATCTTCAGAACCTTCTAGCACTCACATTGAAGGAATTTCTTCAATATCATTTATGGTTTAGCTG